TGGGCCATACGCGAGCCAGAGGTGTAAGCTTTCTCGGGGAAGTTTACTCACAGGCGAATTTGCCTCTGATCATGCGTGAAGAGTTGAAATGTGTCACGACATATGGCGAAAGATTCTCACGTAGACGTGAGGGCGCAGAGAAAAACAGAAACTGGACGCGATCAGATGGATCGAGTTCAAGTTGTCCGTGGACCGAGCATCTAATGTATAGTTCTCGATAGCAAGGCGTAGAGGAACAAAAAAGGAGCCTGGCTTCGCGTCGCTGGCCCCTCCCAAAACTCAAGAAAAGGTGCCAGTATCTTGCATGGAATTGTTGCGTACCTCGAACTCTACGTTGAGTTTCATCTGAAGAGCGCATTCATGGACTTGACTGATCACCGACTTCTGCTTGTGTTTTGGGAGTGCATCACCTTCACCATTTGCTTCCTAAACTGATTTTCTAAGTGCAGAAGATAAACGGCAGAAAAGCGGATTGGTGGAAAATGAAAGCATTCCAAGCGAGAAACCGTACTTGCAACAGCAATGAAAATGACGCTAATCGCTGCATACCGGTTCATACAGTAATTTACTCTAGTGGGGACCGATATCTTATTCCACCCCCCTTTACAGCCGTTTCTGGATCTTTTTTGGGTCTTGAAACAAACACAGCGTCGCACTTATTCGTCCCTCTGACACTATGAAAATTTAGGATGAAGGTGGTGTAACGGGAAATGACCCCAGTTAGCACCCGCACAGGTCGGCCATCGAATCCTTGAACGGTCCTATCCGGGCGCCGAGTTAACAGACCCTTTGAGGTCAGTAATTTAGCACCAAGTCTGCCTTCTTCTCTTTAGTCCCGCATCGCAGTGGTGTCCACTGTTTTCTGTTATACAGCGTTTAGACTTCGCGATGACGTGTTATAACGCGTGTCGATGCGCTACAACTGCAAGTGCTGGAAATACAGCCGTGTACGCACGGTAGAACTTGGTGCCCCGGTCGCTTGTGTCTTGAGACAGTATAGGATAACGGGAGAGTGGGCGCTAACTTCACGCGGTCTGGAGCCCTTCTGTCCTTCTATACTCTACCACAACACGAACAACTGATCCATTGCCATCCTGCACCCCGTCGGTGCAACCGTCACTGCAGTGACAGCGCATCGTCACGCGTCACCGTGAATTCTGAACGCTGCCCTGGCCGTCGTCACTTCGTATCAGACCTGCGTGGCAGGATATAAACCTTTCTTGTATATCGGAGCATCCCCCAACCCCTCTGCAAGTCACTGTGTAGGTCAGATCGCCTTCGAAAAACTAAAACGATGCTGAGTTGGAACACACAGCGCTTTCCAGTAAGGGACAGCTCATTACCAAGCTTAACTCTACAAGACGGCCTTCGCCAGTTTTACAGTGCAACGAACCGCGCACTTATTGCTGATACATTGCCGTGACATACACTCGAAAAAAGCACAGTAATGAACGAAAGAAAACGGAAACGAAAGAAACGAAAGCACAGTAATGTAGAAGACTCACCACCTGCTCCGAAATTTCCTCAGTACCAGCTCCATTCGTCTGAGCCGAGTCGGCCTGTTGTGATGTCGACTTTTGCTGAGCGTTCTTTCGTTTCTGTTCGTCCATCTTCAATTTCGCGTCGAGAGCTTGTATGTGAGGACCAAGGAAACCCAAGCACTGCAAACAACTCCATCACGCTCTATCACGCTATTGAAACAAAGTAATATTTGTAAAAAGTAAAAAGAGTAAAAATTCTAATCCACAAACCTGAGCAGCCGCATTCGCCTTAGCTAACGCAAACGTGTTCCCAATACCGGTGAACATAAGACCAGGTCCAATGGCAACGCTAACCATACAGATACGTTCGCCTGATGGTGTTGGCACCGGGAACACAGCTCCAGAACGAGATGTTGGTGGAACCATAAAGAGCGGGTTTACTGGTGGTAATGGTCCAAGTAGAGGCCCTGAAAGAGAAACGGTAAGCAATCCCAAAACATTCTGGGCTACACTCTTGACCGATTCATTAAATATCCTATTTTCTGGGTGAGAGGCGGAATCACTCGCCACGTCGCAGAAGCGCACGCTACAACGCACGCAAAGTTTCCCAACACAACGCCGCCTGTACTTTTTCGTATTCGAACCATCTTACTGGTTTCAAAACACATTCTACTCAATATAGACGGGCCACATAGGAACAGAGAAGAAAAACAGGTGCAGTTCGCCGTGGTGGTGGCATCGAAGTAGGCAGCCAAGCGTGTACAGCACTTTTTGTGACGACCTGTGAAGTCTTGTTTCCGAAAAGGCTCACTTGCGCCGTTTCACAGAAATTCACAAGTCTTACCAGAAGGAGGGCTACTAGTTAACATGAATTAGGAAAAGTGCAAAATGCCCCTCCCAATCCGAACAGCAGCGAAACATACACAAAGAAAACAGGGGAACGAGCGCTTTTTTCCGCGCGAAACACTCGGAGCGTTGGGCAAACTGCGCTTTAAACGCGGGTGAGCCTTATTCCAAAAAATGGGCTAAACAGATCGAGCAACCAATTTTTCACGCTATGGAGATCATTAGGCACATATAATTAAGTTCGCTGCGGATGAAGGGGCGTGTCAAGCAGTATGAGTGTGCCACGGCGCCAAACCCGTTCTCTGAAAGTCAGGGCACGCCACTGCGTTGTGATCATTTCCTGAAAAATACGACTCCCCACTAATTCCATCCTCAAATACGACCCTCCCCATGCTACCTACCACTTTCCACCACTTTCCTAGATTCTGCCAACTTCCTACCTATCTACAGGGGGGCCAAAAAAAAGTCATTTTGCCTCCATGACTTTCAAGGCGCTATAAGTTACACTTTATTAAATTTTTATCGGACATTTTTACTACCATATTAAAGAGCACATTAAATACTATAATGATACTCCGCCACAGCCTTCTGGAGGAGCGCCATCGAGAGATTCGGCCGCGCGAAAGTGAGTGGGTACCGGAGTTGAGCGAGATCGTTGATTTCTCCGCCACTGTAGACCACCCTGTTGAGCTCCGCCCGAACCGAGTAATTGAGGGGTTTAGTTCAGGACCCCCGCTTAAATACTAGATCTTTTCCAGGTACTCAACGTTCTTCCATTCCGAGTAGGCGGGAGTTTTTCCAAAACCCTTTGATTCCATGTGGTGGCACCCAAACCTGTAGCAGCACAAGGTCTCCAAGAAGGTACGGGCGACCACATGTAGGGAGGATATTCCTTCTCGAGTTACTTGATGTAACCGCCAGCGCTCACCTTCAGTCGGGGTCTACAAAGAAAATATCGGTCTCTCCCTTTCCAGGTACCCCGGTCCATACCATCAACTCGCGCCTCGGCGAATACGGTGAAGATGATGTCCTAGACCGTAGCGACGTTGCCGTAGCTGCTCGATGTGGGAGAGCCTCTTGCAGATCAAGAAGTACTGCGTCTATCAGGAAGCAATCCATGGTGATTCCCATTCAAGGAAGCTTCGCAGCTGTTCGGAGGGACGTGAATCCCAAAAGTGTGTTTCTATCAGCTCAGGCCGCGTCTGGAGATGACTTCATATTTTTGGCGTACATGAAGGCGATTGGCGGCAGTCTGCTCCAGCTTATAGGGAAAGATCTTGGGTATCTTCCTGCCTGGTACTCATATCCACCTTCCTCTGTCTGGGCTGCGAAAACTTCGCTCATATGTGACTCGCATGGAATGACTTTTTTCTTTTGCCCCCCCCCCTGTATTTTCCATACAATGAACGGGGAAATCCCAGATTCCCCCTGCCACCCCCAGTTTTCCAAAATCTATCGCGGAGCAAATTTCTGGTTTGTCCCAAAACATTTGCCTGTCGAGCCTGGGGGGTGGAAAGGCGGGGGGGGGAGGATAAGGTCATCAGATGACTATATATTCAAACTATCGGCGGATAGTAGTTGTGTTAGACCTTTGGCAGTCCCTCCCTCAACAGCGACCCAAATGACGAGCACCCCCCCCGTTGCTGGTCATCACCAACCAGTGGTGTGTCCGCCTGAAAGTTGGTGAAGCGGGTATGGGGACAAAAGTCCCGGTAGAAAACGGGAATAGAAGGATGATGATACAGCCTTTCTCACTGCTGCGCTTCAACAACAAATGGTGCGAGAACGAGTTTAGGAGCGCGCACTTCATCCCGCCGGAACTCATCCTTTGGCAGCTACTAGTTAGAATGGGTTCTCACAATAGAAAACGAACCTCTCGGAACTCTTGAAGTCATATGATGTGCAGGAGCATAGGGATCTTGCGGGAAGCATCCACCACGATCAAAACTGAAATTAGCAAATTTTGAAACGTAAATTAGTGGAGGAGAAGGATTAGATAGCAACCAATCTAACCTATTCTGCGTTCCATTACAGGCTAATGAAGGACTAAGTGCAGCAAAACGGGGCTGCAAATTAAAATTAATATTTCACTTTGTCCCTATTCCAAGAAACAACTCTAAACCCCAAAAAAACGCCTCCTCGATAAGATGAACTCTTCTGCAACAGAGTGATTCATGCGTACCGTTATCGGCGAGAGTGGCATTTTCGCTTGTGAATGAGACCGATAGATTGGTTCGGGGAGACCAAGGCGACGAGCTACATGAGACAAAAGAACCGGCGGCGAGCTTGTATCTGAAACAATCAATACTCGTCTTCTGTGACTGCAAAGCGAAATGACTTTACATCAAACGATTAATTTATAATTTTCCAACTCTTTATAAGAAATTTTGAAAAGAAAAGACCACTATTGATACTCCGTAACCTTTAGCCTAACCTTGACCACCACAATTAGGTTTGGGGGGGACACTTGAGTTTCGCCACTTCCCATCGACGTATTCATTGCTTTACAAGAGTTAACAGGTTCCTTTACAAGTTCTCACCAAACTCTGGCTGCTATCACCTCGTGGCTTCACAAGATTTCACAGGTCTCTACTTGATGGCTTGACACGTGGATGAAAAGTAACGAAAATGGTCCCCCTTCCAAACCAAACTGCACCACTTTACCCTTTGAGAGGTCGAGAATGGAAGGTGACCACAAAAAGTCTTGTGAAAAAATGCTCTTCATTATTATAAAAGTTTGGCACAGGAGAGGCACCGACCAAACAAGACTGTAGATATTTGAAAAGAGTTATTACAGCGTAAATCATGTTAATTCTGACCTTTCTTCCGCTTCTTTTCAGGCGGCATAGCTAGTGATGTACCTGCTAGTGCAGCTGCAGCAGCCGCTTGCTGAGCTTTCTTTATTGAAGCACCACTACCTTCGAATACCTGGAATGAAAAAAGTCCCACTGAAATCAAATCAACCTTACTTCCCATGTAGCAAAACAAGACGAAACGAAAACAACAAGAAAACAAAAATAGCAAGGACAAAATGAAAAATAAAAGAGAAACCTATTCCCTCACGGTTCTTAGATGTGACAATCCCATCACGCTGCCTGTAATTCCCCTACCTTACTGTGAAGTGAATACCTCCTCTATCCCTTCTTTCTGTTAGAATACCACAGACGATTAGATATGCGATAATAGGAGCTTTTACAGAAGAACGTATTTAATCATCGCTTCCTCCACAAAAACATTTAAGATACAATGTTGCACAATTTTCAGGGATAAGCACAGTGGTGGGGGAAAGTAAGCGCCTCACTAGTGACCGTGAACCGCCCAAGCATTGCCACTCACACAAACACAGACCCCGAACAACGAACGGAATCCGGGGCTGGTGGAAGGAAGTATGATGACGTCTCTTTCGAATTCCTCTTCTATCCCGAATCACCTGGTGCTCAGAAGTAGTTTCAGGGGTGATTTTCCACTTCACCACAACCCTGGTTTCGCTGGCGCCCCAGTAAGTCCCATCATAGTAGAAAAGCTGAATTACAGCCTCACATTAGTTTTAACCTGCAGTCTAGCTATTCCCTTACACCGTGCAAGGAACACTACATGGCACAGTGCGACTTAGGGTGGGCATTTTACTAGCTCCCGTAAATCACTGCCGAGCCACCTGTGGAGAGCTGTAAACTCCTGTAAAATTATGCGATAGCGGGAGCTTCGTTTACACTTAACAAGAGTCCACAGTTCTCACAAAAAGGTTGTAACTCGCAATTTAGCAGGAACTGTGTCCACGCGAACGTCACAAAAATAGCCCTCCAATCGATACGTAAGCCCATCTCTTCGCCCAAAGAAATCAGACTATCATCGACCAGTCAACGAAACTAGCATTTCCTTGTATTACTTTCTCATCGGGCCTCTCCAATATACTAACATGATGAGTAGCATGCCACCACTTCCTTGTAAAATTTTCATCAATTCCCTTTGTCAATTTAATAACTCCAATAAACAAAGTTAAATAGAAAAGCAAGAATACTTACGCCTCTTTAAAAAAGATGACATTGCGAAGAGAAACCTTTTCGATTCGAACTGACCTCATCTGCAGTTAGAAACAGTTGTACTGTAAACATTTTTTTGTGGGCTGGTCCACTCTCATCCATCAGTTTGTATTTCGGTGCTTCAACGCAAATTAAATCATCTACATACTCTGGGGCTATCATATTCTATCAGATAAAGTCCCGAAACCAGGAAAGCGCTTAGACTCCTTAATCCAAAGAAAAAAAAAAAACGTGAATTTGCAAAACTTCACGAATAAAGCATGCATACCAGTGAGCTGATAAGGTAATTATTGAGCTGAGCCTCGTAAACAGTCAAAATTAATAGCACGGCGTTGGTAACTGTATAGACTACTCAGTTTTTCTCGACGTGAAACCGTAAATCAGCTGTCAAAACGCCAAATTGTGACGCTGAGTTATCGCTACCTCATCAAAATCCCCAAACGAACATTTCGCTCCTCCCTACCCCCTCCCCCTCCCCCTCTGTCACCCCACCAACCTAGTGAAGGGACAAAATGGGGCAGCACTAGAATCGAGGAGCGCCTAAGTGAAATCCATTGAAAATTAAACATTACCTTGTGAAAGCGAGCAAGCTCCGCTATGCGGCACATTGGTGTTTTCTCTTTATCCTCTTGATTACTGTAATTGTAGACATTTCGAGAAGAAACATCACTGCTCGTCTGATGCTGTCCGCACCATGGTTGAGGGTGAATCGCACGAGAAGGCACCTTCAAATGGAAACAGATGACACACCTTTCCTAACACAATTACTATGACTTCATTAACCTGAGGGGGCAAGATTAATGCTCTAGGATAATAATATTTTGGCAGTAAATTGTGAAAGTACGACTAATGTTGCGTTCATACTTTTCGTCGGCGTTTCGAGCGAAACGCTCGAAAAGCCGACGTTTTCCGCAAAACGCTAGATCAACACACCAACATTCCTTTTCTCCCAAGATACTCGAAAGGTTCACGAAAAATATAAACGCAGCTTAGGGTAAAATGGTCGTTATGTAGGTGAGAACCTGTGGAAGTAGTACGCATTATTGTTCTCCGTTTCTCCATTTCTTCACTTGAGCGAATCAATCGATATGTAACCAATCTTTGTCGTCGATTCTCCAACTCTCAGATTTTCTAATTCTCCAGATCGATACATTTTCGCCAATTCTCGAGTGATGGAAGGTATGATACTCTCTCCCCCAGTAGTTCTGCCTCGGTTAGCCACCCAGGCACTCCCCTCCTCTACAGAGCATAGGCGTACACTCTTTTTTTGCTACGGTGAAGGGGCGTGTCAAGCGGGATGCGTTTGGCATGCCGCCAGCTACTGGAGCGGGTAAGTGGCAACAGCTGTTGGAAAACTACTGTTACGAAAGATAGCATGCTGCCTTGCTGCCTGCGGGAAAAAAAAAAAAAAAACAGGTTGGCTCTGCGCCACACCTATCGCCTCTTGAAACGAACCATCATTCCGCAGCGAACAAGACTGTATGTAGTCCTGCAAACGACACAAAAACTACTGCATTTTGGAAACAGGAAAAAAACGAGGGTTTCACCAATAATGCGCAAAAAATTCACGCTGACAAAAACAGGCCTTTAACAGCTGACTGCATGATTTGGATGGATCGATGCTACCCTGTGTACCGTGTCGAAAACCATTTAAGCTTTTTTGTAACTTGCGGCACTGAAGAATCCAAGAAAGGGAAACTACGATTATTGATTGATTTCCAATTTTCCATAGACAGGGGACAATCGATAGTATCTTCTTCGCGGATTCTCGATTCTCCAGTGTCGCAAAGTATGAACGCGCCCTGATCGAAGAAAACACGCAAAACTTACACATGCTGCATCTGCTTGTGGGGCATTGATGGAATTCACAGCCGCTTTGGGATCGTCATCAGGGCGTGGGGATGTGTAGAGGTTCTCCTTGACACAAGGCGAAAATCCGACCATAGTTAGGTAGCAGCCAGATAATGATTATATATCATTTATTGTGTTAGTACCGCCTACGGCCCCCATTCACCCGGCCGAAGCATATCGCAAATGGTAAACACAACTGTATTAATAATCATCGAATAAATTAAATACGTATTCAGATCACGAAGTGACGATCATTTTGAACCACGGCTGGAGCCAGCAAGCAAATGGTTATGAATTTCTGAAGAAAAAAAAATATGGCCACACCTGCAAACATCGTCAACGTAGAAGCAGAAGAGTGATGGCGTTCAGCAGTGCGCTCTGTATTTCTCCCCTTGAACCAACATTCTACAGACCTAGAAGGTCAGACGACGATCAAAGGTTAGGCCTGCAGGAGACAATGAACTGTTGTCTTTCACGCCCACTCACTCTCTCATGCTTTCGAAGGTGTGAGAACAATGTGAAACTCCATATATTACCTTAAAAAAACTACAAGAGTCATTACAGAGTCTCAGAAGTTTTCAAAATGAATTATTTGGCAATCATTCACTCGACGCCCACTAAGCATCTTCTCCAGGCGCTGGAGTTATTTAGCTTATTTACAGTTAGACACAATATCTATCCTATAAATACAATTCACATGGAGTGCTCCCCCACTCAATCCATTTACCCTCCTATCCCGAGTAGCTTCTGATCTCGGGACAGCAGGGTAAGTAGATTGAGTGGGGGAGCAGCCCGTGAGTGAGTTGTACTTCCAAAGTAGGTATAGTGTCTAACTATAAAACAAAAAAAAGCTACATAATTTTTAGTTTAGAAGAAGTAGCTACGGCACCGGAAATATTGCAACATTCATTTTGAGAAAAACTATTTGACATTTTTGATATCTTCTCGCAGTCTCTCTACAAACTAAACATTTGGAGAGTTTCACACTTTTCTCACACGTTCAGAAAAACTGATGTTCACTGAAAACAAGGGCTTCTTGTCAAGTGCACCGCGCAAATAGGCGCGGGACGAGTGCACCTTGCCTCCAGCCAGACTATTTACGTACTGCTTTCAAGTATCTGAGTTCTAATACAACATTAAAGAGATCTGCGCCACCTTATATCAACCTGGAAGGGCGCTTTATCACGTTTCGGGATGCGTTGGCATAGACGATTCTGTACACCATCGCCTCTCGCTTCGACATAGCCTTCACAGTGTTAACCAAAGTGAGATTGTAAAGCGGACTCAGGGAAGGCAAATGGTGGTACATAATGGCCCCCGTCGACAAACAGCCGCTCTACACGCGCAATTGCTCAACTCAGCTCCATGTCTTTATACAAAACGCAAAGCAATTGAGTGAGATGGAGCATTTTTGCTGCAGAACATCCGAGGTTATTAAAACAGGAGCACCGGAGCAGGTCAAATAAATACTTGGGCATCTGGGCGCCGGACCACAGAAACCTATTTTGGAACGAGGCCTTTTTAAGCTTAGATCTTCTTCTCACGCCGCCGTCTCAGTTTTCCTGAGTTGAACAGCATTTAGAGCAGAAAGGCACGAAGAAACGATTTCGAGCCGTGGGTGAGGATGTTGAGCTATGCTGTAAGTGAACCTATCCACTTACACCAGAGCTCGCTCCTCTAGGATAGGCACGATTTCTTTCCTGAACCTTTATAATACCTTCTGGGGTATCACACTTTCTGGGTAAAGTCGCACGCGTGTACAGGGCCCAGCCTCGCCTTGAAATCCGCAGATGCTCTCCAGATTTTCCTTGTGCGTTTTTTTTCATTTGTTCTTATTTATGTTGAGGATCTTTTTTTACTAATAAGAGTTTCAAAAGCAATAAGAAGACTAAAATAAGCAAAAAATACCAGAAAAGATTGTTGCTGTGCTTAGAAACTTTCAGAGCGCGATCATGCGAATAAATGCGCATTATACCCCAGAAAATAGGGAATAATGTTTGCAGTGGTTTCAAATGCCAGCACCAAAATGCTCAGTATATATCAGCGCTCATTTTTCATTATAATTCTTGAGGTGAAATGAAAACCTACGAGGCTTCTACCGGGAAATCTCTCTCCACAAAAGCATCGGGGAAGTTGTATGACACCAATTCACCCATCCCGATGGTGTACCCCGCGTCCAGAGCTTTGATTTCATATCTTTATTACAAATGATCAAAGAGACTAGCGGACAAAATAAGAATTGAATTTTCAAGGCAGAAATAGGGTAATCTGGTGGAGGTTTCCTGGAAACGTAAAGAGAATTCGGGCGATTTTTTTGCAACGGTGCGAACATGTTGGAAGAATGTAACTAAACGAAACGAATGAAAAGAACCACCAAGTAAGCAGTATTACTGTGTTTTGCAATGTTGACATAAAGTGCTGATGACAAAAGAAGTGATGGGAACAGCCGCATATTACGTAACGGCAGCATGTTAGCAATGGATCAATAGCTGGATTTGTGTCACAAAACGGGCCCCTTACAGGCGTGGGTTATCGCCCCGTCTTTTAGCTAGCAGTCCTGAGTGTGAGTCGTAGTAGTACTCAACTGTCATACTCGTTTTCTTAAGGAAAAACACAAATAAACAAGAACAAATTTCTGCGTCAAATGACTAGCAGAAAACGGAAATTGACGAGAGCAGGGGCTAATCGATTGCAGAAAATGACGTCGTAATAAATGAATTGCAAATAAAACCAATAAAGGGTACGAGGTGCACGTAGAGAAAGTAAGAGAGAAATCCGAACACGACACTGTTTGACGATTCAGAAGACGTTCCACGTCTCGTCACCGGCCTGCACATCGACTAAACGCCACAAAAAACCCAGAAGCAATTTCGGGTTACGGTACCGCGTACGAGCGGCGTGCCTACGGACATTACGCCTCCGATACGCCTCTCTTTTGCAGTGGAGCACGAAATTGAAGAGGGGGTTGGGTAAAAGCTAAAAAAGCTGAAGCTAAAACCTAACAAATTCGCGAAAATGTTATGAGGTAGAACTGACATCTTTCAAAGGAAAGGTATGAATTACTTATCGATTCAGAGTAGTGTTGCAAAGTTGGAAGTGTGACCTTTTCATAAAAAGTGTCTCAACTTAGGTTCCACAAAGAGCGCTGAAAAAGGAGGGGAAGAAGTCCACGGTTACAGAGCTTCTGACAACCGGATGTTCCCTAGCTGAGAGGATCCAGAGGTAGTTTTTCATACCATCTCGTGGATGAGCATTTGAAGGGAGAAAAGGAAGGAACAGAGAACAGAGGTGGAAGGAAGGAGGACGGCTGCGCGGATGACAGATATCCTGAGGCCGGGCAGAGCAGTCAGCGCTACGCGACTATGACCGTTTGCGCTCCAGGCCTGGGCTCTGGCGAAGAGAAGGGACGCAAAGGCGCTGTGGAGCGGTCCCCCCACCCCTCAGTAGGTTAACCCCCACAAAGTTCTGGAAAAGTGGGGAGAGGGGGAGTTCACCGCCATGCCCGCAGGAGTTAGCTGCTTCTTCCCTTTCCTATTTTGCCAAACGGGCTTAATCAACAGGAACGGAAACGGGAGAGTACACACTCACCGTAGCAATGCATTCATACTGGTAACTCGAACCATCAGGTATCAGTTGCGTTCGATTTGGGAATCACGCGAGTGCTATGACTCGCGACTCAAGTCGTGAAGTATGAACGCGGTCTAGCAGCTCACGGCTGTTATATGGGATGAGGCACGCAGCGACGCACCAATCATGTGTCTGCTTGGCTGTGTCTTCCCACAAAAATACACACCTCATCCCTGCGACGGAGGGAGCGTGGCATTTGAAAATGGCATGAAAAGGGTTACTCGTAGGATATTTCACTTTGGGACAGCTGTCTTTTTGCTAGCGTTGGACAGAGACATGACCACGATTGCACAAAAATGAAAATATATCACAAAGCACAGACACCCCACGTTGAAGCACGCAGCCACGCCCATCACATCTCAGGGATATCGAATGTAGTTTACCGCAAAGATAGCACTTCACCGCATCCAACCTCAAAGATCGCAGATGACTGGACTTGGTGCAGCCTAAGAATTACGCCTTCTTTTTCTAAACTAATATATCCTAAGTTCTTTCTGGGGAAAGCTGAGTTATTGTTGACTCTGGAAAGTTCCCATAACTTCTGAGAACGTTCTGGTTTGATGAAGACCTGCAAAAGATACATAAATCGGAGATCTGAACCCTTCCATCATAGGGATTGGTAGATGTTTGACCATTCTTCACGCTCCATAGACTTCGTTATGAAAATCGGCATACATTTTGAATTCCTACCACTGTATGCGGGCGAACCGACTAAAAGCTTTACATGAATTCCCAACATCGTGGGTAACTGGTTACTCACATTCAGCTCCATTTTCTTCAATCGCTTTCCAGTTTTAGGAAAGTACAGCAGTAAGAGCTCAAAATCAGTACTGTTCAGCAATGCTGTCCAATAATGGATCAGGCCGTATACAAAGAAAGCGGAACAGGTAGCGTACAAGATGTTTATTGAACCAGTTCTACAATATCATTATCACAATATGATCATCGAAGGAAGAAGGAGAACCATAAAACTCTGCCTCTATCGAAGTTCTAAACTGTGTCTGATATCCTTATGTTATGTTATGTTTATTACGCTGCATAAGGCAAACGTGAGAGAACAAGAAACAAAGAACATCACGAAAAAAAAACTTTCTGGGAACAAACGACAACGATATATCAACTAGGAAAATACGCTCACTCAGTCTATCAAGAAGATATCAAACTAATCAAAGTGAAATGAAATGAAATGAAGCGACTTCGAGAGCTGGCAACGGTCACGTTCATGCTGTGCAACCGGCGTTTTGAGAGAATCAGTGTCTGAGCGAATAAACGTTCAAGTGAAAAGGAAAGCATAGGTACGATTATCGCTTGAAACGCTGACTCTCTGGAAACGCCCAACTTTCCTTTTCGCTCAAAACGCTCTCTCCTTTTGGAACGTCGACTCGCTCAAAACTCCGATTCCTCCAAAACGCCGAGTTGCCAAGTATGAACGCAGCCTTAGGCAGCCCTCATAGTCGTCGACCTCA